AAATCTCAGGGTAGTTATAATGGGATGAAAACGGGCTTATCTGTAGGCAGACTTATCTAAGGTTTTTGTCTGAGTCAAAAAGTGGATTTATCTGATGGCGGATTTATCTGTAGGCGGACTTATACGATGGGAGGACTTATCTTTGAGATTGTGGTAAAACTAACAAAACTTCATCAGCACCGTGTTTCGTTGTTGCGCGCAACCTTCTGCCACATTGCCGTTAGGTCTCTAATCGTTTTTCCAAAAGTCACCAGGTCTGGTCCTAAAAAGTCGTCTGACCACCGTCTCTGGTCTTTTTCAGTCGGAACCCGCAACGTTTATATGGTTTGCATAAGAGCGGGACGTCTGCAAAGTGCACGGGATACTAGTGCACCTCATATCATAGTGGCTCATATGAACTTCTTGCAAACGTCATTTTCCATAATCTACAAAAAACTACGCAAGCTTTCCTATGAGAAAATTTGAACACCTGAACGGTAGCGGTACTGTGCCTAGACATTTCTTGCGATCCAAGCATGTTTTCCATCAAAATCGCCTGATCGCATCGAGCTAGTGGACACCTTCTTATCTAATAGGGAAGTTCGCAATGAAAGCTCATCGCCTACTCTCGTAACTACCGCTGTTCGCCGTTATCAGGACTTCCTGGGTTCCCCATAAGTATATCACACCATTTATGGTGTCGATCAAAGTGTGCATACCCTTTAGCATACATCAGCAAAAAATTGACGTTGATTTCGCACTTGACGCTTACCTCTGCACTGATGCGTGACCAAGCTATTGGCAAGATTTCACCGTTTGTCGATCAGATAAACGGAATCTCCATCATTGGCGGTTCGTTCTTTTTTTACACTCAATTATATGGACGTGTTTTCCCTCAATACTTTGCACATTTTTCTATCTCAATACTTTTCTATTCTTCTACTATTATATAAGTTTCGAACACTATTCGTATATCTTAAACTAATCTCCATTTTCAATCTATCTCGCTTTCTCCTGTATTGGGAATGCAAGCTATAGCAGCGCCACAACTAAAACGTCTTTTTCGAGTGGAAATAAGCCGCAAACATATTCAGTATCGACCTTCTGTAACATTGCATTATAAGGATCCACGAACATGAAAATAAGAAATTACAGAAAGTAACATGAAAATGTTCGTTTTCCGCAGAGAAACTCGGAAGTGAACGAGATATATCGAAATCGACAGATACATACGTAAAGAGCACAACAAAAACCATATCTGAACTCCGTCATGGATGATTCTCTTACTATAAAAAAAAGAAGGGAATACACGTTTCTAAGAACTTTAGAAGCGAAAAGCTGAGATTGCGGTATAAAATTCCCGCTGAAAATTCGTCACGCTCCATCGTTCTGGAGATGTTATATTGCAGTTTTATTCGAAGAAATTACCAACTACTCAGACTGTATATTATGTCCTTTCCGTCCTCCTTCTCCTTCATTCTTTAGGACACATGATTTTTGATAAACAGTAATTATTAACAGTGTGTATTCACTTTGAAATTGGATGTTAGATGGCATCTAGATTGGCGATATCGAAAGAACCTATTCGTTCTACTTCTTACGATTTTAAGTCCTTGAAAGAGGAGTCAAAAGTAAGAAGAAAACATTAGAAAAATTGTTGTAAGCTTAAGTGCTAGTGGTACCTTCTTACCTTATCAAAAGCCATTCGACAGAAAACAGCAATGAGAATATTTGGTTTTAAATTTACAAAATTTTTTTAGAAGAGCCGATATCGTTGGAAGAGGCGGCGCTGTCTGCGCACGCGATGGCACAGCCAAGCCGCAAAAGTTACGTACATGGCTGTTCTCACATTCCATTACTATTCGAAACTGTTGGAGAACGATTACGTAGTGCTGTGGACCAGGTGATCAAATCATGCGCATTAACAGTCAGGGAATTAGTGACATTTTTTCTATCTAGACTCCTAACAAGGAATTTGTGATATTCAAACGAGAGAACATCCGTCGGACGTACCTTCAGCTGCTAAAAGACGTAAGCTGGATATAACTAGCTAACTGTTGTTAGCTTAGTTTGAATGTTTTAGGCAGAACGCCTTGCATGTGGTCTTATCCATCTTGGGTTAGAAAAGGGTGATCGTGTCGGCATTTGGGGTCCAAATACCTATGAATGGATCACCACACAATTTGCTACTGCATTGGGTGGAATGGTGCTGGTAAGCTGTTTTCTGCATCATGATGGATTTATTATTATTGATTATTGGGTACATCCAGGTGAACATCAATCCTTCATACCAGTCTGAGGAACTTCGGTTCGCTCTTGGAAAAGTAGACATCAAAGCTCTTATCACACCCCCAGGATTCAAAAAGTCGAGCTATTATAGAAGTGTCACTGTGAGGACAAGTTTTAATTATGCTT